GTGGGAAAATTCTACTACCAGTCCTTCATCACCTTACACGAAATAGGGTGAATACATCTCATTATACATATTATTAGTATAGTCGCCTACTTTTCCATGTTTCAGCATGTGTTTGCACAAGGCTAATATAGCAAATGTAATAAAGACACTTTTTTGAGTGAGGCTAGCTCAATTATCGTTTTGCCCAAACGTGTTTTATCTATAATTTTTACATTTGAGTTTTTTACTATTAAAAGATTACATTTAGAATAATTATATCTTTTTCATTTCTTTGACTCGACTATTTTATTATCTGGAGATAAGCGATATTGTTCATGATGTTGTAGCGTTACTAGCCACTTCACTCCAGCTTGTATGCGAAAATGGGCTTTGGGTGTGAGATGGTGGGGTCGTTTTTGCTTCCACGTCTTCTTAGTATGCCAAAATTTAGTTTTGTTTAAGCTACTTCCATTTCGAGTGAATAGATTCGACTGTCGATTCCACCAGAAAACGACGGCGTATTTCTCTTGATCAGCTGTAGATTGGCTTTACTGGAACACCTTCACTCGAAATGGAAGTAAGCTCAACAATTATGCAACAAGAGACTCCTCGAAACCCAACTTTTCTTCGCAAAATTTATTTTAACCCGTGCTACTGTCATTTACCTTGTGAGTAGTAATGTTAATCAATGCCCCTGTAGCCATACTTAGCATATTGGCAGACTGAGTTTTTAGCATCATCGTGGGCGTCGGGCTATAGGATCACAAGGAAGTAGTAAATGGGAAAAAGGTCACCAGATGATCCATATTATAACGGAAAGTCCCAAAGGGTTAGAAGTGATTTGATCATTTATTTTTCACACTCAATCGCTAATAGCGCTATGAAAATTGAACAAAAAGTAAGAGGCACTGCGAAGCGGATTCGGCTTGCCTATCAAATGATGGAGACAGAAAAGGTGAAATAAGTAATTGGCAGACAAAGCAAATCTTGCCGCCGCGCTGAAATTACCAAAGGAAAGACTAGCAAATGCGTTGTATCCAACTAAAGCAAAATTTAGGAATTCTTAAGTGGTGGTTAGTTTGCCAGCCCCGCGTGTACTCGTTGCTAACGGCCTCTATTTGGAGATCTTACCCTCGTGCCGACAGACAAGAGTTGGCATTTTTCTCATTCCGTTGCCATGACAACTGTGAAGTGGCCTTAGAAAGCCAAAGTGTAGAATAATCTTAACCCATTGCAAAAGGAAAGACTAATAAATGTCTGGCTGTCGATGTGAGCAAGTAAGACAGGGAATAACAGTCAATGCTGGTCTTGCTGTGTCTGCACCGCAATCAAGGATAGGCAGAACTTTTACTCAAGCCGGTTCGGGGCAATTAGTCTTTGGTGCTTTATACGCAAAGTTTCTACTCAACGCAAAAAGGGACGGGTCGAGGCAGAAGGCTTGGGCAGGAAAAGTTGCATTCAAATTGAGTTCTCCGCTGCAGAATGTCGTCTGGAGGAAATTGGACAGGACCTGATGAAAAAGAGGACAAGAAAAATGCTTACAGACGGCTCTAGTAAAAGCTGGAAAGTCACTTTAATACATTTTTATATAGTCGATTGAAGCAATCATATTTTCTTAAAAGTACCTTCCGTGACTGCCACTAATTCGTGAGTCTGAAATTGATTATGGAGAGAAAATAGTGATTAACTCAAAATGATATGCATTGAATTTCGTTTAGTCTTTTCACTCAAACTGTTTCTGCACTCATCATCGAATGGACTGTAACTTCGACCTTGCATCGTCTTCTTGGCAGCGCCCAAAACGGGATTCGAAATCGAGTCTTGCCCATTGTGGCGACCCTTTAGGACTCTCATGCACTAGTGTCCTAGGACAAGCTGAAGTAAATTCCGGTAACCATTTTTATTTAACACAGTCCAGAATATTAGATTTAGTTGAAGTTTGCTTTAAAAAAAAGTGTCCAATAGCTTTCAAGCTTACTTGAACTGAAACTAAGAAATATCGTCGATTTTACTGGCAAGTAGTTGTTTGCCCCATCGAAAATGTCACATTCGAATTATGACACACGATCAGGGCTCGAACCCCGGCTGGGTTGCAGCTGAGATGGTGGATTAAAGTAGAAAATATAGTCCAGTCGGGGCGAAGGAGCCTTTCAAATAGGCTCAACCGACATTAAACAAACTCACATTCTTATTCAATTGATTCTGGTCTGACGACGAGTCTGAACCGGAGATTTATGTAAAAATGCTTATGCATTCAACCGACGAAAATAATGAAGTTGTTTGACTTTGCTTTCGCAACTTGGTCATATCGGTAGGACGACCGAGAGAAAGGCACCTTGGCCGGAGTTCATAGTGTATAGATCATTTGCAGATTCGGACCGTGGACGTGGTACATTCCAAGACGAGTAACAAATTGTTCTTATGACCGGCAAGTAGGCAGGTTTCAAAGACATCAGTCACTGAGGTGGATTGATAGCGAGTAGGCAAAAATAGATGACTTTGACAACACTGGCGATGTGCTGAGTGAATGGCGTCAGGAGGCAATTGAATCAAGCTTAGCCGAAGAAGGCTATCCCATTCGGACAGGAGTTAAGTTTCAATCACGTCTTAGTCTCCTTTATGTCGTCATCCTTTTCTTCTTCTTCTTCATCATCATCATTATCATCATCATCATCTTTGTTACTCGCATCTTCATCCTCCTTCTCTACTTCAACACCATCTTCACCATCAACGTACTCATACTTATAATTAAAGTCATTTTTCTAATACTTATCCTGATCCTCATTATCCTCATTCTCATTATCCTCATCCTATTTTTCTTCTTAATCTACATCATTCTTGTACTCATTCCCCTGCTCCTATTCATCATCCATCTTCTACTTCTCTTTCTCCTCATCATCTTTATAATCAGCCTGCCTGGATTTGGATGAGCAGTTTGTCAGAACTCTATCTTTTGCTGATCAATGACCCGAACCCGGTGGCCTTTTGTCCCAAAGACTGTTATGCGAGGGTGTAAAGACTTATTTGTAATTATTCTCTAATTGACTTGAGTCACTTTGTTGAGCCTACTTCCATTTGGGGTGAAAGTTTTGGGTAAAGATATTCACAGCTCGGCTCTACCAGAAGACGACAGCAGATCCCTCTTGACCAGCTGTCGCTTGGCTTTACTTGAAACTTTATGCTGACGTCGTTTCCGAGCAAATCTCCTTCGATTCCGTCACATGCCCAACATCATTAGAGCAAGTTATCATCGTCGCAACAAAATTCAAGCTAACGAGTCAAGAAAACTCACCGGCAAATCCCTAAAAAGTGGTACATACACTCTTTGATTAAGTATAAAGTGATTTGGTTAGTTACGGTCATATGCCAACTTCGATGCCTGTGGGTGTGTCTGTCTCTGTATATGTATGTGCCTGTTTGTGTTCGCCTATTCATGAAACCCGCAATGATGGCTCAAAGTGATTAGTACAGCAAAAAGTGACGTCTGTTTTCGACCATCAAGGTTTGATGACCCCCATCTCCCTCTTTCTACAAACATGTTATAACAATCGCTCCGATTGTACAGGGTCGGACACTCGTCTGGATTTGTGGATGAGCCTTTTTTTCATTTTGCTGTCAATGCGAAAGAGAAAGAGTAAGCTGAAAGTACAGAGAAGTGACTATGAATAGAACTAAGACAAGAACAGACTAGTTGCGTGGCCTCCTTTTAGCAGGCGGCTCAACTCCCTCTTTTTCCTTCAATTTTCTTAAATTTTGTTGTCACGATGATACCTTGTTCTGATGCTGTTCGTCACATGAAGGACGAAAACTTAGCACCTTTTCACCAGAATGGAAGGAGATTTCCTTGGAAACAGCGTCAATATGAATGTTGCAGTCAAGCCAATCGACAACTGGTCAAGAGGAATCCGCCGTTGTCTTCTAATGGAACCGACCTTCGAGTCTCTTCACCACACACTTTCACTCGAAATGGAAGTAAGCTCAACAATTATGGAACAAAAGATTCCACTAAACCCAACTTTTCTTCACATATATTAAGTCGCTCTGACCAGATGCTCCATTATTATGTGCTTTTGTCGGTACTGAAGGCAGCTTTGACCAGACTGGCTGGAAGAGAATGCATCGCGCAAAGTAGCTCAAGTCGTCTTTCTCGCCAACTCGAACCGCGGGATTTGGGCTCAGTTCGGACACGGACTGCTAAAGCCGGATTTGCGTAAATTCGAGTGAGTCCGACAAGCCTGACTGGCAAGGACCAGACGCGTGGCGCCAATTGAGCCCAGCATGGACGTTGTACATCTTCGGCTCGAAGCCC